GCGGGGCGGGAGGCGGAGCGGAAGCCTGCGGCCGGGTTTATTGCTGTCGTTTGGCGCCCTCGTCTGTTTTCTTAAAGGCTGTAACAGGGCGAGCATCCTTCCTCCTGCTCTTCGGAAAACCGCAGCCGAGATACCACATCTCCGAGGCACTCGTGTGCGCACACAACCAAAGCCGGCACAACTTTAGACTCCAGAAATGTTACTGCACTGCTAAAAAGGAGGGAACGCTTTTTATGTTATTCGGAGCGGATGGAAAAGACTATATGGAAAGCCTCAATGTGAGAAAAATAAGTTACACGCAAGTGCGGCTGTGAATGATCCTTATTAGTGTTATTTTATGTTTTGTACCTTTTAAATAATGCTGATACCTTAGGTTATGTACAACGCATCTTAAAATATAGCTACAGTCATATGCAAGGGAAATAACATGTCATAAAAGATGTTAATAATCTTCCACTAAGTAGATGTGAGGTAACAAAACCGTTCCCCGCCATGCAGTTAATCAGTTCACCCCAAACCATCAACCCACTAATAAACTAGTCATCTGACATTTATATTCCCAGCAAACTAGATGCATTTACTTGCACCGATGTTTATCGGGTTTGGGTTTGTTTTTTTTTTCTTCAAAAACAACAGCACAGCCTAAAAACCTTTCGGCATATATTTATAGTTCTTCAAAACCAACAGCTCAGCCTAAAGAACCTCCGGCATTGCAGTGACATTAGTGGGCAAAGGGAGAGGAAGTTACGGAGGCCGCCGAAATATGCGAGGTTTTGTTAGACGCTGTTGACTCAGTTGTTCTAGTAAGTTTAAATAGCTGCTTAGGCCTATGGCCAAACTTCTTTTCATTTTTACCTTGAAAGTTATTACTCGAGGCATCAAAGAATATTTCAGCGCTCGTTTATTAAACCTGAGCCGGGAAAAAGAGGTCACGCAACTTAATTGAAATGAAGTTCTTATTAAATCAGCCAAACAACATCTCGGCCAGCTTTTCACCGCTCAGAGCGTGCTTGGGCGGACGGACAGGAATATCTGCTCCCTCCTCCCCGCCGGGGCAGGCTGCCAGC